GTCTCTGTCTCTGTCTCTGTCTCTGTCTCTCTCTCTGTCATTGATCTGATAAAAGTAGCTTATTATTTATTTCATAGTACAGTAGCTACACTCAAATGAAAAGCACAATTTCAAATGTATTCCAATGAATTAATCTTCCCAGAGAAAATTTCCAGATGAACCATTGTTAAATGTCCATTTCTGCTGGACACTGCCCTTTCGTGTAAGGCAAGCATGGCTACTGATGCAGGAACATATTTACTGTTGAAAGCAACAGAGAACATGATTGTCAGTAGGAAAATGATCCGCACTGAGACAAGAAGCACGAGGGGAAAAGTTCTACTTTTGTGAGGTGTGGTCCTCCTTTTGAAATCTGATGGAGAAACTAAATTCATTTCATAAATACTGATGAATTTGGTTCTTATTTCCCCTTTTCCTGCCCAAGTTACTAATATTATAGACATTGGAGTAGTGTACAAATAGGAATAAAGTGATGTTCATTGTAGGAACTTTACGCAGAAATTCATCTGTATACTAAATTGATTTCTATACCCTACATAAATTTCTATCATTCAGAGTAATTGTTGGGCATGGTGGCACACGCCTGTAATCCCAGCACCTGGGAGGCTGAGGCAGGAGGATTACAGTGAGCTCAAGGCCAGCCTTGGCTACAAAATGAGTTCAAGGCCAGTATAAATTGCATGGCAAAACCTTGTCTCAAAAAAGCCCCCCCAAAGCAAAAACAAAACCAAAAAGAATACTTGTTAATATTTTTAATACATTCTTCAAGCAATTTCTTACTACAATATTCTTCAGAAAAATAAAGTAGGAATTTTTTTTTTCTCCTCAAATGCCTTCAGGGCACTTTTGCCTGGCTGGAGTGTTGTGGGGATCGAACTACAGCAACCTGAGGCTGATAGCTTTGTGGAAGCAGCCACTTAAAGAACTGAGCTAGGGCCAGGGCCCCATAAGGATTTTTTTTAAGTAGGAAAAATTTTAGGATTTATAACATGCATATAAATTATTCAGAAGATAAAGTAGCAAAAATTACCAAAAATGTAAAATGCTTATAACCTGAAGACAACACCTGTGGATACTTTAATCATTTAATCATTGTCATAATAATTTTGTGAAGTAGGTACTATTATCATCATTCTGCATATAAGATAGTCAAGGCAAGCGCAGGTTAAATAATATAATGTCTAAATGTTACTGGTAGACCATCATTTTATGCAGAGGTCATACCTATTTTCAAATCCATATTTTTTATCTTAAAGTAAATTTATTATGTTCAAATTATAGAAATGTTCACATTAAAACACCCACCTTCCTATCAAATATACTGTTCAATTGTTAAGGTTTGAAAAAGGGAAAAAGTTAAAGCAGTTGTGGCAGAATCATTACAGTGGATTGTCACCCCTCACTGCTTCTCCCAACTCCATTTAATTCTTACTAGATTTGTTTAGAAATATAACACAGAGAAAGCAAGTAAACTTAGTCAAATCCAGTTTTAAAGTTTCATTGAGTTCTCGACATCGCATTATCTGGGGCTGGGGATATAGTTCAGCGGCATAAGTGTCTCCCTGGCAAATGCATGGTCCTGAGTTTATTCTCCACTACTCTTATTTTCCTATGTTTAATTGTTTGCCCTAGTTGGTGGGTTCTTTTCAAACCCATATTTTTGTCTCCTATCCTTACCTAGTTGTTCATTATCTACTATGGGTGGACCTGGGATGGAGACAGTGACGTAACAAGAACATTGCCCATTCACACCAAAGGAATGAAGAAAGTATTGTTCTGTACTTCACTTGCTGCTTGCCCAAACAGCTATTTTTCTGAAGTCTCAACAAACCTTGGGTGAAGTAGAGGTTCAGACTCCACAGATAAAATGTCTGCACACAGTTTTCATTTCTGTTTAAGTGATCCCTTCACCAAGGAGGTGAGCACATTTCCTACAAGGGAAAAGGAATTATAGATGTATCCTGCCCCTTCTGTATTGCTCTCACACCAATATGAATCTAGATGTAGAATCCATGTGTGCTCCATGAAATATTGTTCCTGTTGTTGGCACAGTGCAGAACACTAATAAAGAAAATTAAAATCAGTAGTGGGCTATAACTTAGTATATTGTTTGTTTGAGGGTGACACTACCATTAAATCAATGGGACAAAGCATAAAATAATGGCACAATTCTTTTACTAGCAGCTTAGCTGCAGGCGGTAAAAGTAAACTAGATCTTTTAAAAATAGGTACCATTACTCCATCTTCTTGTGAGGGAACTCTTCTGTAGTTTGACCATGCCACTAGATTGGTGAAATTACATAACAGAGTTGAATTACACTAAAGTACTGCATACACATGCACACAAATGGCATGTTCAATTTCATGTGCTGCCCAGTAGATGATTGCTGTAGGGTCATATTCAGCCACCATCTTGGTCCACTTCCTTTAATTTGTCAGGAGTTTATGCATTCAGGTAGTCATGAATGGGCCCTATGAGACTACAAGCAGTTTAGCCACTATACCTAAGGAATAAAACCTAAAGGCTTTTCAAAGCTTGTGAGCCTCAGCACTATCTACACCACTGTATCGTCACAGCCCACATCCAGAACATCGATGACTTCCAGTTGCTCTAGAGGACATCAGTCATTTCACAACTTTCTTCTCAGTAGTAACAAACACAGTTTACAATTCTATCCTAAAGACCACATTCTTCTTCTTTGGCTCTGTTACACTGCATCCCTTCTATGTTCTAATTTTCTCAGTAGGCCTACTCATTATATATTTCTCTTACCAAATATTTTTTGAATGATACTTAAATGTGAATCCATGAGGCAACAAACTTCCATGCTTTTGTGAATGAAATTAATTCCTTCACTCAAGAGGCCTCAGAGAGATGCTGGGTCTTTTATCTGCTATGTGAGGGTCCATTCTTCACTTTAGCCTTTGGTCCATGTAAAGATGACAGAAGAAGATAACTATGAGGAAAGGACCCTCACAAGACACTGAATATGGTAATTCAATCATGTTTTTCTTCCTGTGCCACATCAATGTGAGAAATTCATTTCTGTGCTTGCCAAGTCATTCAGGCTAAAGGCTTTTGCTTTTATAGCCTGATCTGGCCTGTTCAAAAATTGCTACCAGAAGTGGGATGTATCAACAAGACTTAAAAACTGTGGGAGCAGTTTTGGAATTATATGGTGACTAGTAGAAACTCAGAAGCAGAAGCAAGCATAAGTCACCTGTACCAGAATCATTACTGGAAATTATGTTGAGGGCTGAGAAGCAAAGTGAGCTCTAGGTAAAGTTTTATTGTATGTGGAGATGAATTACAAGGCCATGATCAGATTGTTGGCAAAAATATGAACAGCACAAGGCAACATGATGCACATCAAGATACCAATGAAGAGTATGCTACTGGAAAGCTGCAATAAACAACTTTCTTGGTTAAAAAATGATGAATAATTTAACTGGATGGTGTTTCTGTTTTCATGTTGTATAGAGACAAGACATAAAAGCAATGAAAAATACTAGGTGGCACATGCATCTAAGGCTGGTGTTATGGGTATATTTGCCTTCTTCTGAATATTTATGGTTAAGGTTGAAAGAGAGAAAACATGTAATTGTAGAACTTATCATTTGAAGGAAATCAGAACTTCAAGAGTTGGAAAACTTTCAGCCTATAGAAAATAAGAAAGAATGAGAAAGACTATATGGGGCCTGGATAACATGATAGCTAAAGAGGTTAGTGTGGCAGGAAGGTATGCAAATGTTCTTCAGGAAGATGATGAGAAAATGGCTCCAAACACATTCTGGATATCTTCAGTACCGTGAGTCCCAATTCCTGCCTTCAGTGTGAGTGTCCTGAGGTGTGATAGTTTTGGGAGACGGTTTCTACTCTGCTGTGAGAACTCTGAGCTTACTGTCCAGGGCCGGTGAATTTCTGCTTTATGAATATTAATTTCCCCATGTGTGGCTCAAGTGGGCTAAGGTATAGCTTAAGTAGGACCTGAAAGGGACATAGGATGAGAACCCTGGTAGTATTCATGTGATTCCAACTGTATCAACTCTGAATAACTGGTGGCTCAACACTGAAGCTCTAGAAACATTCCCAAAGAAGCAGAAAGCCCATCAAATAGGAAAGCTAATGGGGAAAGCATCCTTGCATATCTCCAGATGCTTTCCAAACATGAATAATATTTAAATTTCTTTCCTCACTCAAGTGCTAATGCTTCTTCCTCATGTCAAAGGAAATGCACCTACTCTTCTCCTATACAGAGAACATTGACATTTCTAGGTCCAGGTTGCCCAGGAGTTTCAATCTGGAAAGCAAATCTCCATTCGTTCTGAGAAAACTCATTTCATCCAGACAGAAAAATAATTTTTGAGTTTTATATCTAGAGTCAACAAATTTCCTCTTATTGAAATACATGTGCTTTGCCCTATTGCATCCACCAGGTACAGCTAAAATCCTAGACATTTTATATGTCAAACACAGGGAGATTTTTAAGTATGATGTGTGTACATGCAGCTATATCACAGACCCCAGAATAGATAAGATGAAGAATTCTCTCCATGTTTCTTTTGACTTTATAAACTGCATGCTGGAACCTGAAATAGCCAATAACTCAGAAATGTCACTGGCCACAGTTGAAAATCTCCTCACAGAATTTTAATGGTTTTATTCAGGGGACCGGAAGACAGAAACCCTCAGACAACATCGCTCTACAGATACTACAGAAAAAGTGCAGGTTGAAGAAGGGAGCTTTGTCCTCATACTTGTGAAGGAAACAATTTAACTCTCAGGTACTGCAGTGTGAGAGGAAGAAGAAACTGGAACTCACACTTGCACTTAGAGAGAAAGAGCTGTTTACTCCCTCTCATGGTATTGGATGGCAAAGCGGTTGCTCCACAGGCTCTTAACTGGGCAATAATGAAGCAGCCCCTCTCTGTCTTCCATAGGATTTCTGTCAGTGAAGAACATTTGGGAAGCAGAATAAAGGCATTTCTCCCCCTCACAGACAGGATGGCTTCCCTGGAAACTGAGTGCTGCTCCAGAAATCCACTGGGCATTCGTGAGCATTGCTCCCTCGCTGCTGTCAGCAGAGGCTGAGAGGGAAACGTGTACTCTGCGCTGTCGTGAGAGCAGCAGTGACCCTCCCTACTGGACTCTGCTGTGCGGGCTCAAGCCAAAGTTACCTAAGCCAAAAGTTTAAATAAGATCTGGAGGGTCTCGAAGCTTGAATTGTCATGATTCAAATAAAACAATAAAATCACATGAAAATGAAAGTCATTTAGAAACCCATGAAGTTGTAAGTAAAGACCTCGAGTTATGCTGTCTGAGTTCCTGAGGGAGCAGAGACATGACTCAGTTCACAAAGAACTCACAGATAGAAGGACCGTAAGCTTTCACATTTGGCAAGGAACATCCTGTTTTGGACGGCATGGAAACTCATAGTCGGTTGTGCTGCTGCAGCAGAAATCCATGAAGTCACTTCTATTCAGCAGGAATTTATTTCTCCCAGGTGTGGAAGTTGAAGTAGGGGAGTAGAGTGCCAGCCCGGCTGAGCTCCACTGAGGATGTCCATCTGAGTGGTAGACCGTGTGTGCTCACTGCGTCCCCACCTAGCGGATAGCAGAAACAGGGAACTTATCTCTCCTCCAGTTTAGCTCACTTATCCCAACACTGTTGTAGGTAGCTGAGTTAGACAGAAATATTATAGGTAGTCAGACAGGGCTGGCCCTCGAAGGAGCCAATATGGAAGACGGTGATGCCTCGTAACTGGGAGAGACAGATATTCCCATTGTGGGCCAGACCTCACGACAAAAGATCAAACAAATGCACCCTCATAACTCCTTAAAGATAAGCATCCAGGATTGAGATTCTAAGTAGTTCTGTATCACCTTGATGAAGCCGACCTCCTATAGCATAGTCCCTGTTGTATATTAATGTCCACTTGCTGTGTGACTTGCTTCCCCGTTTGGTCCTGGTTCTAATCAATTTTACCTGAGCAATTGTGCTTGTAGTCTTGTTGGTTGACCCATAGTTTTGTCTCACCTCACACTCACCTGGTAAGGTCCCATGTTTTCCACCTTAGACCTGCCTCACCTCTTGGTTTTGCTAAATAAAGCCCCTAGAAAAGGCAGGGTCTTCGGCAAGCCACTCAGCTCCCCTTCTATACCTTTCTTGGACAGAAGTTTTCTTTCCCCCAAGAAATAATATTCTGCTCTTAACCACTACTGTTCCTAAAATCCATTCTTGGGTTTTAAAGAACACAAACTCATCCTGACTATCTTTCACGTTGGGAGTTTAATTCCCCTATATCATTTAGAGGTCATCCACCAAGATTATTAGACAGAGGTATGGGTCTGCTATTGTTTCATAGGCCCTGGATTGGGATATGTTTAGATAAAAAAATTTATGCTTCAAATTTTGATGTCTTTGCTTATTATTTATAATTGCTTATTTTTTCTCTTCTATAATTCTGTTAAAATGTGATAAATCCAAATTAAAGCATGTGAAGGTTATTAAGTTATGATTTTTTTAGTGGGACATCCTATTACTATTTTATTCTTGTTATGTTGCATTTGAACTAGTTGCTAAGTGTTATTGGTATTTCTTACTTGACTTTAGACAATAGTGCTAGGGAGAGTAACGCTAGAGCACCACCTACTAAAGTTTAATTTTTGTAAACTGGATCTTTAAATCTAGCTTATATTAGATATAGAATATATCTAATATAAGCCAGGCAAGCGCTTATTCTACTGAGCTATCTCCCCAGCCCTAGAAAATATATTTTAAAAACATAAATGCCTGTATAATACAACACAGGAATCATTTCACCAAGTAAATGACATCAGGTAGGTGACCATTCTTAAGACTTGGAGGGCAGGTTTCACTGGGACAGACTGGCTCTGATCGTCCTCTACATGCAAGATGAAATGTCAAGCCTGTTCTGCTTCTGTTTTCTTTCTTTGGCCTCACTCTTAATTTTTCCTACTTCCTTGTATTTTCCTTTAAAAAGTTTTGCTTTCTCAACTACAAACTCCATGACAATAGATTTATGTTAAGATACTCAATGTATATTCATTTGCTACATCAGTAATAGGACAAGTGAACTGCCTACAAGTCCAGGTGACATTTTCTTGTGACATCTGCCAAGATTTGGGAAAGGTTGCTGAAAAGATATGGGAAAGACAAAAATTATTGTATTTATCTAAGACAAATAATGAATCTTCTGTCTTAAGAAATAGAAACCATTCTCAAAAATACCATCTAAATGATCATCTACTGAGCCAATAGTAAATGAGAAACTGTTAATAAATACGTCCCCAACTTTTGCATGATTCCAATCCACCCTTCTGTTTTCTCAGCTGGAAAGGCCTCTCTACAGGTAGTTTTCTACAGTTATGCATCCTCTGTGTATAATTGTAAGACTGTTTTTAAACTCAGAATTTACTCAGAAAGTGTTGTTTAGCAGAATCATAAATACGGATGGGCAGACACAGCATAAGAGACAGAGTATTGGCTGATTTTTTGATGATAGCCATTCTTCCTGGGATGGGATGGAAGCTCAGTGTTTTAATTTGCATTTATTGCATGCCAATGATATTGAACATTTTTGCATGTATTTATTTGCCACTGCATTTCTTCATAAGTGAAAGAGATCACACCAACATATGCAAACATTATATCGTCTCCCTAGTGGAAGAACCAGAAAGAGCAAATAAACTCTGAAAGGTACAAGTGATACTGTGAGAGGGAAAGAAACTGTTCAAAGGGAAGGACCAACTGGGATGAATGAAAAGAGAATAGAAAGAAAGAAGGGAAAAAGAAATGCATATGTATATACATAAGATAGCTTGGATAATTATACCACTGATTTCTGCTTGTCTATTGAAAGGAGCAATTAATGCTTAAACTTGTTTCTCTCTCATTTAAATTTTTTTAACCAATTTTATATACTTATATCTGATAATCTGAATGACTAATTTGAAGACAACAATATGCAGTAAACAACCATTGTTAAACTCCTATCATTTTGTTTAGTGAAATTCTGTATCATTTCTAATTTTTTTTTATTATTTTTGGCTCTTTCAAAAAATTTATAAAAGAGACAGAGTAGTGCAAATTATCAGTAGGAAATAGACAAATAAGACTTAGACCAGGCTCCTGGACTCCCGTCAATGACTATGATTTGGAATATCAGATTTAGCTTCTTCATTCTAAGGTGCTAAGCCCTCTTCCTATCTCTGAGCTATAGGCACATATTTTAGTTTCTGTATTTTTCAATTTTTTAAAGAATAAAAAAGTAGTAATAGAAAAAACAGCATTAAAAATCATACACAATTTAAGTAAACAAAGTAATAGGTATTCAGTAATGGTTGCTGTATTACATGATGCTATCTTCAAATTAGTTGTTCAGGTTACCAGATATAAACATGCAAGATTTGTTTAAGGAAAAAAGCAAAGCAAAGCAAAAATAACAAAAAAGTTGTAAGAAATGAGGCACTAAGATCAGGGGTTCCCCAAAACAAGTCCAAGAGTGAGGTGAAGCAATAACATCAGGCCACCAAGTTCAGATGTCTTAGTTTCAACATTTTTGAATTGTATATCAGAAAACCTGAAAGCTTCATTTCATGTGCTTTCTTAGGCAAGAGGCACAGCACTAAACTGGAATTCATATCCTAGAGAGAAGGGAAGGTAGAAATACTGAAAAATTCAAAATAGATGTCTTCTTTTTGGTGTCAAAATTATTTTTTATTTTAATTTAATTTTGAGTAGTAAAAACAAAAGCAAAAACAAATAGAAACAAAGACAAAAACATGGTAACATAAAAGAATACATATGTTGCAGATTTTTCAAAACAAGAGTAGCTAATTAACAATGGTTGCTCTCTTATCTATTTTTATCATCAAATCTGTTGCTAAGATTAACAGATATGCAAGATTGGACACGTAATTGAATATTACTGCTTGATTTTAAGAAACTTATTTTTTTCCTTGTCTTTGTTGTTGTTTTTTTATTTTTAAAAATTTTATTTTAATGAGAGTAAAATAATAATTGAGAAGACATTAGAAACAGAACACATGTGGAGGGCCAAAATGAGAGGTATTTAAGAGTGCTTTTTGTATTACACATTGCTCTCCTTGATGTCATTACTTAGAGCACAGATATCAGCATACAGAGTTAGTCAAGGTGCAAATTCTGCATTAACTGCTATTTTCAAAGAACCGATGGGAAATTATTAGTACTATCACCCAGCCATCCTGTATATATACTTGCATGTTTCCCCCTCTTCCTTTCAGACCCACATGTGTAAATATCATATTGTCTCCCTAGTATAAGAACATAAAAGAAGAAATAAAACCTGAAAAGTATGATAGACATAGTGAAATAGAAACTGAACCTATGGATTAGACAAGATGAGAGAGATGAGGAAAGACAGGGCCTTTTGTAACCAATGACTTTTTGGTTATTGATAATCCAGGTGACTACAGTGGAACAACTATAGGAAAGAAAGAGGCTGTTGGCATCTAGGGAGTGTTATATCTTGAATCTCTTTTGTTTTTTCAATCTTTTTTGAGACAGGGTCTCACTTTGCAGTTCAGGCTGGCCTTAAGCTCACTTTGGAGAGCAGGCTGCTCTCAAACTCAAATTTATCCTCCTGTTGCAGCCTCCCCAGTGCTAGGAGTACAGGTGTGTTCTACCACTCCTAGTGACATCTTGAATCTTTTATAAGGACATTAACACCAAAATCAAGAGTGTGTCAAATCTCTAGCAGGACATCAAGGACCAGAGAGAAGAAACTTACTCAGATGCCCTGAAATACATTCATTTGACTGGTCTACAATTAAACAAAAATTCAATTCACTGTAAGTCCAGCCTTCTTTTAACAAGCTGATATTCTCTCAGGAAATGTAACTTTCCCTACGTCTATCATATCAACCTTCCCTCAACTAATCCTCCGGGCAATTTTCTAGGGCTGAAACCCACCAGAGGCAAAAGAGTGAAAAAATGTTCCATATGAGGATTTGCTGAAAGAATTCATCTGTACTCACATTGAGGACTTCTTAAAAGTGGAATGGAAAATGGATATTTCTCCATTTGCTAGTACTGTATTCTCTCCTTTCCCCAAGAATGGATTCAGCTAGCAAAACAGTAAGTTGGTGAGGAGGACAACAGGAGCAGATGATAAGTGCTCCTCTTCTAAAT